AGTGGCAGGGGAGGAGTAGCGTGCAACTACAGCGTCGTACAAGGTCTGAGCACTCTTGTACTGGCTAAAGTGCGCACGCTCAGAGGTAGGGAGGTGGCGACGCACAGCAAGACGTGCAGCAGCATCGCGCGTGGCCCACTGTGAGCGAACGGTGGCGTCAGCATCAGCAGCGGGGGCAGGAGAGGCACCAGAAGTGAGGTCAAAGAGGGAGAGGCCGTCTGCTCTGTCGCACTGTAAGAAAAGCTGCAGGTCATCTATCCAGACGTCAAAGTCAATGGCCCGACCCTCAGCGTCAAAAGCGAGGACACTAGGGGTAGCCATGACAGCAGTAGACTAGCAGTGCAAACAGTAGGGCGAGGGCAGTGCTGTGAGAGAGGCGCTGCTCTTACCGGACAGGGCGGTTCGGGCGGCTCGGCTGCAGGGCGGCTCGGCGGCTCGGCGGCTGGGCGGCTCGGCGGCGGGGCGGCTCGGCTGCTGGGCGGCTCGGCTGCGGACAGGGCGGCTCGGCGGCTGGGCGGCTCGGCGGCTCGGCTGCTGGGCGGCTCGGCTGCTGGGCGGCTCGGCTGCTGGGCGGCTCGGCGGCTGGGCGGCTTGGCTGCTGGGCGGCTCGGCGGGGCCGCTGAGAGGGCGGCGTCCGGCGCCGCTGGGAGGAGGCGGCGGGGCCGCAAAGGTAAGTGGCGGGGCCGCGGAGGTAGGTGGCGGGGCCGCACAGTGAGGTGGCGGGGCCGCGAAGGTAGGTGGCGGGGCCGCACAGGTAGGTGGCGGGGCCGCGGAGGTAGGTGGCGGGGCCGCACAGTGAGGTGGCGGGGCCGCGAAGGTAAGTGGCGGGGCCGCACAGGTAGGTGGCGGGGCCGCGGAGGTAGGTGGCGGGGCCGCACAGTGAGGTGGCGGGGCCGCGAAGGTAGGTGGCGGGGCCACACAGGTAGGTGGCGGGGCCGCGGAGGTAGGTGGCGGGGCCGCGGAGGTAGGTGGCGGGGCCGCACAGTGAGGTGGCGGGGCCGCGAAGGTAGGTGGCGGGGCCGCGGAGGTAGGTGGCGATGGGCGCGACGGGCGCGACGGGCGCGACGGGCGCGACGGGCCGAAAGGGCGGCGCGACTCGGGCCGGCGCAAAACGCGCTCCGGGCAGGAAAAAAAAAAAATTTCGTGGTGGTGGGCCCTAGGAATCGTTCCCACTAGGGAACCTGCTCGATACCATGAGAAGAAACGAGGAATGCAATGACTAAGTGAAAGTTGGGTACAAGAAGCAAACCCTAGAAAACTGTACCCCATATGTGCTACCCCACTATAGCCTACAGTAGCTATGTCATATAAATCTGACACGAGAGCCTAGGGAACACCGCCTACGGGGACCTGATTGAAGCATCGACAATTAGGGCGCGTGTCTTTTGAAATTTATTGTAAAGTTCATGTTTTTAACCCGAATCTTCCCGTTTGAACTCGTGTCGACTTGTAATCGACCATCTCGACTTTTGGAGGGCAATTTCATCATCACCTTTTGCATCAAGCAAGAGTAACAACAACGTTCGACATTCGAAGGTTCGATTTTATACAGTAAAACCCGAGTCGCGCACAAATTTCGTAGGTTACCCGTTTTGACTGCGTAGCTCGTGATCGAATCCAAATTTAGTAACATGGTTTGTTATCCGTCGTTACTTTCGCAAAAATCGCAAATTCACTGTGCACGAGAGGAAGAACACACGTTTGGATTAGGCTTGGGCATTGGCTCGACCCGGCCCGACCCGACCCGTTTGGGGTACCCGAGGGTAGGGTGGGGTCGGGTCGGGTATACCTGACCTCGGGTACTTAGGGTCAGGTTAGTTACCCGACTCGCTTTGTACACCTCGGGTTTTTATAACCCGAGGTCGGGTCGGGTATACCCGAGGTCGGGCCGGATATACCCGTAAAGACAATGTGATAATTTTTTTTTTTTTTATCTTACATTTCACACTGTGTGACGGTGCGCTCCCATTAATTACCTAAACTCCTAATTGAAAATGTAGTAGTTAGGCGCTTCTTATCATTTTGCAAGCCACAAGCATGTTTAGAGGGTGTCTCAGATGTCTGAGTCCACGTGGGTACGGCTCGGACCTGACGGACCAGCTCAAGAACCAGCGCGTGAACCAGGGCGGACCGGGACCAGGATGTGGGGCTTGTAACCCCGTTATACCGTTCGAATGGCACTAAAACGGTGCCATTTATTTGGCCCTCCAGACCAGTCCGCGCCTGGTCCGTAAACAGTGGGTGGGGAAACATTTGTTTTGGCGAAATTTCTTGTTTTGTAAGTTTCGCGTGAGATTTTTGTGCAGACGAAGAAAATGGGTAACTCAATTTCAAATGCGTCGCTACTGCTGCAACTCGCAAATACTGTGCAGCCCGAAGCGCGACGCATCAGGCAGACCAGTCCGTGTCTGGTCCAACGCTGGTCCGCCAAGTGGGTCCGTCGGACCAGAACCCCGGACCAGGCCTATAGATTCTGGTCGCGAACCAGATCCAGCGGACCCTCCACATGAGACACGTCCTTAACCAGGTTGGGTATCGGGTATCACATACCCGAGTTTGAACACCCGGGTCGGGTATCGGGTATATGTTACCCGACGTGGGTATACATACCCGACCCGCCCGGGTAGTCCAATCTGAATTAAATACCCGACCCGCCAAAAAGGTTGGGTCGGGTCGAGTTACCCGACCCGTTCGGGTCAAATGCCCAAGCCTAGTTTGGATAAACGGGCTTGTGAAAATTCGACCCCAGTTCATTGTCCTTCGGTTTCATCAACCTTTGAACTTGGACACACGATTCTAGCAAAGAGCTCTCGGAGGAATTGACGAAGCCGGTAACCAGCAAAAGTTTGACCTTAATTTTGAACTTCTACACCATAAGACACGCGCCCTCATTTTGGTCAACGGTATTGGCGGGTTTCCAGCCCACGCTTTCGCGGTTTCAAGTTTCCATGTGTCTGGTTTCGCAAGCCCCAGCGGGACCCCGTCGTGGGCGACTTGTTGGACCTCATCGTGCGAGCCGCACAAAACATCGTCAATCGCAGAACGTGATGGTGCCAAACGTGTGCAACACTTCGAAAAGGGTTACAACTTCGTTGTGGCCGACAGGGTTGTTTACGGCGTGTTGAAATTTCCGGTGGACTGCATCGGCTCGGGACGTTTGGAAGGCTCCAGGCAGGCGGGAGGCCAAACACGGGCACTGATTCGAGAAATAAAAGTTTCAAGATAGTGATTCAAAGAGTTATTTTCAAGGTAATACTAGGACATGGATTTTCTTTACGCGTCTTCTGTGAAAATTTTACGGCCTCTTGCGTTCCTGGAGCCTTCCCAAATCCGTGCCACGAGCCGAGCCGATGCGGTGCACCGCAAATTGCAACACGCCGTTAGGATTTGATGGCAGAATTCGATTGTGGACAATGCGCAGAAATGTTCGCGAGCTTCGCATGCCTGCTACTACTTCGCAACAAATCCGTCGTCACAACTTGGGCCATTAGGATCTCACACGCCTAAAGATTTCTCGAGCTAGCAGCGGGCGCTGGTAGAAGCAAACCGACTGCTTGAAGTATACTCAAAGCTATGGAAGTGATTGACCGAACACGCGAAGTTTGCTTTTATCGACCGTACTACTTGAATTCATCGATTCTGTCGCGACGTCGATACCGCGCCTCCGCCTTCCCTGGCTCTTAGACTCGTGATTGCGCTGAACTTTCTTTGTTCCCCTGCGTTTATTAGTGTTTTCTTAGAATTTCTTTAGTCGGGACGTCGAGACACGTTATCGTCTGCTCGATATTTTCTCCACGCTAGTCGCTCCGTGCCTCAGCGTTCCCCAGCGAGCTCGCCGCATGGCGAGCCATACGGTTACGAACGCAGGTGCGTTTATAGATACGGACCAAACTGGCAACGACCCGCTGTCTGCTTTCAGGCGCAATGATTTAGCACCCTGTGCTCCCTAGCGCCCCTGGTCCGAACAGATGTTAGCATTTTGCGCCTCGCCTTGCTTTTGAGAATTAACAGAAGTGATGCAGTCATAATACGCATTCCATCACACTTTCTCCTTTCCCACTCCTGCCTCCCTCTCCTTGCCCCCTCTTAGTCTGCGGCCTTGTGCGTGCGATTTTTTTGCAATAGCGTCGAGTCCCCCAGTGCCTCACCGAGGCGCGGTTGAGTTTTTTGAGCCGAACCCCCAGTGGCTCAACGGGGGGAGGCTTTGAGTGCATCAGTCATCCCAGCACGCTAGCACTCGTAATCGACCTTGGTTGCGATGTGCCTTGCCTCCTCCGACCTTGTGCGTGCGTCTCTCATTCCTCACATGCCGTTCAATCCCCATGTAAATCCTTGCCTTTTTTTTAATTTGTGATTATATCGAGTGGCAGCCACTCCTTTTCAAAAGGGCGGGAAGCTGTCAGAGAATGGGAGAGGCGTTCTGGAATGGCCTCGCGTGAGCCCTCCGCTACTCGCGCTGCTCAACGCGCTGCTGCTGGCGCTCGTGGTTGTCGAGGTGTGGCCGCAATTCGCGGGCGACGGGCCCACGTGGGGAACACGCAGCACGTGGGGTGTGCAGCAGCCAATAGAAGCGCTGCTGGGCTCGCCCGGTGTAGCAAGAGGACGTAACGACGCCAACAGGTTTGTAATCACTTTCAGTTTGAGTGAGTCGTGCATGACCCTGATTCGCCTTATGTGTAAAACCGTTCATTTCCGTGATAATTCTTGTGTTGAGCTCGTAGCTCCACCAGGTCTGTAACCGTGTAGGTCCACTCAGTAACCCGTTGCTAAAATCCATTCCGCGCGCATTCAGCCCCCATCCCTCCCCCATGTGCGCATTCAGCCCCCATCCCTTCCCCTTGTGCGCATTCCGCCCCCATCCTTTCCCCATGTGCGCATACAAGGTCCAACTTGGGGCCCATGCGCGCCTTCATCCCCATGCCACACATCCCGCCCCCATGCACGAGTCAAATACCAAAATCCATATCTACTCCCTTCTGTCTCATCTGTACTAACCTGTCATGTCACCCCTTTTCCCCCCGCCTCTTCCAACCCGCTCCTATTCCGCGCCCCTCCTCTGCGCCCCTCCCCCACGCCCGTCCTCCGCGCCCCTTCTTCCGCGTCTATCTCGTCTCCTCGTGCCGCATTCCATTGGCAGTAGCGCCACACGAGCACCGTCACACGCTGCAGACCGTCCATCCAATGCCGCCCATGCTCCATCCTATGCCGCCCTGGAGCAGGACATTTGCTGGTCATCAGGTACTAAGATCTTTCCCTCATCTGCTTTTTGAGCCGACTAGAAAGTCCTCTAGCCGGCGTAAAAGTCAACTCCTCCATCCAATGCCTCCCTAGCACGGGACATTTGCTGGTCATCAGGTACTATGTGCTTTCCCTCACCTTCCTTTTGTCTTTGCTCACCCGCTCGCTTCCATGCATGCCTTCTTTGTGTGTGTTTTTTAGTCGACTCAAAGCACGCCTTCATGTGTTTTGCCTTCACCAGCTTTCTGTGGTGCATCTTTGCTCGTTCGCTTCCTTCACTATGTTCTCGCGTTGCTTGAATTAAGATAGTGCGAGGAGTGCTAGAGGCAGTGCGAGGAGTGCTAGAGGCAGTGAGAAAGCAAGCAACTGACTCATAGACACCCCGCTACCCCCTTTTTGCCCGAATCCCTCACAGAACCCGTTGTTACCAGCAGCATACGACCACAAGCAGCAACAGGAGAAGCAGCAGCAGCAGCAACAACAGGTGGGGTGGTGGTGGACGGGAGGGGTTGCAGCCGCTGCGTGCGGGGCGAGCAGTGCAGCTTTCACGTGTGGGTGCGCCCGCCTGCTCGCTGGGTGCTGCCCCCTGTGGCCCCTGCGAGCAGTGAACAGGAGAACGGCGCAGAAAGGGGGAATAAAGGAGAGGGGGAGAGCAGCAGCGGCAGCAGCATGGAGCCCAGCTGGTGGAAGAAGGATGTGACGCTGTCTCTGCTGGGGCCTGCCCTGGGCCACGGGGAGGTGCAGTGCCTCGACCCCCCTGCCTGTTCGCACCTCCGCATCTCCTACCGCCTGTGGGATGCGGGGACATACAGGTGAGAGCCCAGCTGGTGGGAGAATGACAGTGTTTTCTCCTTGAAGGACCCTTCCTTGGGCCATACGGAGGTGCAGTGCCTCGACCTCCGCGCCTGCTCGCACCTGCTCGTCTCCTACCGCCTGTGGGATGCAGGCACTTACAGGTGAGAGCCCAGCGAGTACTTGCACGCACAGGTGGGGGAACGAAGTGTACAGGTGGGTCAAGCACTGGTGGTGCTGGCACAGGCACGCACTGTTGGTGCAAGCACAGGCATTCACTGGTGGAGCAAGCACAGGCACGCACCTTCTCGTCTTCTTTGGTCGCTGGGGATCTACAGGAGTGAGTGGGACGGACACCATTCGCTGCCTCGATCAACTCAGCCATGCTCCAGCCATTGCGGCCCACGTGCTGCCCACGTGCTGCCCACGTGCTGCTCCAGGTCTCCACCTGCTTCACCGTTTGCCTATCCTGCCTGTGCTTCTGCACCACTTGCTGTCGATGCCCCCCTACCCCTCCTCCTGCTCCTCCTCCTCTCCCCCTCCATCCCCCGTCTTCCTCTTCCTCCTCCACTGCCTCCTCTCACTCACACTCCCCCCTTCTCTCACATTCTCTGCTGTTCCCCTTCCCCCCCTTTGGCTCACCTCTTTTCCCCTCCCCATGCCCCCCCGCACTCTGCACATGCCCGTCTGTCCCCACCCCCACTCCCCACTGCAGTGCAACACTCCACGTGGGTTGCGCCAATCTCAACTTCTCACCGGCCTTTGCCGCCCATTTCAACTCCACCTACCGCCATGACCTTGCCACGTGGAGCCTCTCCATTGGCTGGCCAGAATCAGTTTCCCAGAAGGTTCCTGGCTCTGCAGGTGCTCCTGCAAAAGCTGTTGATGCTGCTGCAGGTGATTCTGACGAATCTGCTGTTAGTGGCGCTGATGATGCTGGTGATAGTGGTGATGCTGCTTATTCCAGACCTGCAGATGCTTCTGATTCGGGGGCTGCAGCTGCTGCTGATGTTGATGATGGTGGTGACAGTGCTGCCAGGTCATCATCAGAAGATAGGGTCCTTCTGGATGACGTGGCAGCTGGTGATGAGGCACTTGGAGAAGGCGATACAACCTCCCCAGATACCGCCTACCCAAATGCCACCCCCCCAGATGCTGCCTCTCCCAGCAAGCTACCCTCTCCCTGTGCACTCTCCTCCATCCCCGGTCGGTGGACCAAGGCACGCAGTGGCAAGTACATGTGAGTCGCCTCCCTCGCCCCCTGCCTCGCCCCTCTCCCCTTCATGTCCCCACGCCATGTGTCCCCTGTGTGGCAATCTGGTCAGTCCACCAGCAAATGAACGGCTGGGATTGTGCTTTCTGCTGCATGCACTGCTGCATCCCTGGGTGGTGGCAGAAGGCACACAGCAGCAAGTTCATGTGATGTGAGTAGCTGTTGCCTTCTGGTGGCCTTGCTGCCTCACGAATTCCTTGCACCCTCCCTCCCTCACTCTCTCACTACCCGTCACCCACATCCCTCTCCCCCTTCTCTCCCGCACCACTGCAGCTGGGCCTTCTTCCCATGCGCACCAGCAGCGTCACCTCCCAGCCGTTGGATCGAGCAGCTGGCAAGCAGGGGAATCCGCGAGATCAACATAGTGGGCGATTCCCACCAGCGGGTGCTGGCGCTGCACCTGCACTGGCTGCTGTCGGGGGAGGCGGACAAGCGGATTCGAAAGGGGCATTTAGACTTCAGCAAGGAGTCGCGGAATGAGAGGAACGAGACGATGAGGATCAACTTCTACTGGGTGGATGGGATTTACCGGAATGATGAGTTTGGATGCAGGTGCGTGTGGCGCTGGGTGGATGGGAGGGTTGTCTCCGGTGAGGGAGGAATAGGTGGAGGAATGAGATGATGAAAATCAATTTCTATTGGGTGGATGGGATTTACCGGGATGGCGAGCTTGGATGCAGGTGCGTGTGATTGCTGAGTTGGGGGGGGGAAGGGGAGGGGATCGAAGGGTGGGCTGGGAGAAGGAGGAACGATGGTGACTGGCAGTGTGTGCTAATGATGATGCATGGAATAGCGTGGAAGGAATGATACTGGAATATGGTGTGCTGGGAGCTGAAAGTAGTTGAATGAGTGGGGCAGGGCAGTGCTGCTAATGAACTTATGCCGGATGGATGGGATTAACCTCAAGAATTGGTCTGGCTGGTGTGTTTTTTAGTAGATGGGACACGTGTGATTGCATCTGCACGCACCTGTGCGCATGCGTGCGTTATTTTGAGTAATGCTGTCTCAACCTTCCCCCCACTCACCTGCCCCTCTTCTCTCTGCTCCCCCCACGCTCCCACTCAAAACCCCTCTATAAACCGCAGTCATCGGGGAATCTACACCCATCGCAACACCACATTCCCAACCAACGTATCCACCACAGCTGACGTTACCCTTCTAGAAGCAGGCTACTGGATCAACAAGTGGTGCACAGAGCCAGTCCAAGCCATGCGAGCCCACCTCCCAGAGTACCTCAATTGGGGATTGCAGTTCGCCGCCCAAACCGGGAAGCCAATAGTGTTGCGCACGGCGCCTCCAGTGCCGAACGGGGGCGATCATTGCTTCGTGGGGTCGTATCCCGGGCCGGCTACGAACCTGGCACTCATGGAGATCAATCGGTTGATGCGTCAACTTACAGCGGGTGGTAAGGTATATGGTGGAGGTGCTAATGGGTTAGGTAAGAAAAGAGCTGATAGTGCAAATGAAACAGGTTACAGCGAAGCTGATGCGGACCCAGCTGAACCATGGGACGACGCGTCAATATCGAGGGCCTTTACTGTGGATGAGATGAGGCAGGTCTCGACGGTGCCGGTGTTTGATTCGTGGAAGATCGAGGCTCCTCGGTACATGGACGTATGTCCAAAGAAGGACCACCACTATTCATGCTATCGAGAATTTGCGAACAGAAAAGCAGAGATTCGAGGTCCAGTGGGGGAGGCTGTTGCGCGTGCATTGGTACACTTCCTACTCCACAAGTTGTAATTTATTATTTTATTGATTGTGTATCCCATCGTTCTCACCAAACTGTATCCTTGTGTGCCATACTCGCCAGGGCTCAGATTTGCAGTGTAATTTACCCTTCTATACTGATAATAAGGGTGAAATTTGAAGTCTACACAGATGGGCTGGGGTATTTTTTTGGTGAATTAGTGTTACACTGATCTGTAAGTGTATCGTTGTAGGCCACACTGATGCCTTGAGGTAAATTTCTAGTTATCGAAGATTACACTGAAGGGCGTACAGGGACCCCCCCACCCCTTTCTTTTCCCCGAGATTTGTCAAATCGTGATTTCCGTCAATCACGCAAGTACCGAGGTTACCTTCTGTTCAGTACCGTATCACCTCGGATAGTAGCGCATATGCGCTTATAATAAAAATGATTTTTTTAGGGGGTGCGCTTGTAATCGAGGAAAGGGCATACCGTAATCCCCCAGATAAAAGACCCTAGGGTCTGTTATTGATTTCACAAAAAAAATGTGGGGGGTCTTATTAAAGGGTAAAAAACCTATAAGACCCGGGTCTTATAGGAAGTGCTATGTTTTTTACAATATAATGAAATGCTAGGGTGTTGTAATCCAGATTTGCGTTTTTTTAACGAGGAAAACCCTCGCGAATTTCTTGAGCCGAGAAACCGGGCACAATCCATGAAGCATCTAAATGTTTCATGCTCATTGGCCCATATTCAATGGTAACCAGGTGTTGAGAGGCTGCCTTGATTGTATTTTGTGACTCTTGTGGCCGAACATGTGCCACTGCTTGCTTAATTGACATGAATTAGCCTAAAAAAAACACTTTTATGGTTGGGGGGGGGTCTTATTGTCAGAACATTATAGCTTATGCTGTTGTGTAGGCTATAGTGGGGTATCCCATAGGGGGTACAACCAATTAGGGTTTCATATTTGTACTCACTTCATTTCATAGTTCATCCATTCTTGTTCAAATCTTCTCATGGTATCGAGCAGGTTCCCCCTTGGGAACTGTGCTTAGGGCCCACCACATCGATTTTTTTTTCCTGCCCGAAGCGCGCTCAGCCCGAGTCGCGCTTCGGGCCCTCACTTCGTCGAGCCGCCCTAGCGGCCCTGCACTGCGGCCCCGCCACCCGTCTCCGCGGCCCCGCCGCCCGTCTTCGCGGCCCCGCCGCCTCTCTCCTAGCGGCCCCGCCGCCCTACCTAGCGGCCCCACCGCCCTACCTCGCGGCCTCGCCGCCCCATTGCGCGGCCCCGCCGCCCTACCTAGCGGCCCCGCCGCCCCATCGCGGCCCCGCCGCCCCATCGCGCGGCCCCGCCGCCCTATCTAGCGGCCCCGCCGCCCTACCTAGCGGCCCCGCCGCCCCATCGCGCGGCCCCGCCGCCCCATCGCGCGGCCCCGCCGCCCTTCCTCGCGGCCCCGCCACCCCATCGCGCGGCCCCGCCGCCCCATCGCGCGGCCCCGCCGCCCCATCGCGCGGCCCCGCCGCCCTACCTAGCGGCCCCGCCGCCCTTCCTCGCGGCCCCGCCACCTTCCCTGCGGCCCCGCCCTTACCTGCGGCCCCGCCGCCCTCTGCTGCGGCCCCGCCACCTTACCAGCGGCCCCGCCGCCCTTACCTGCGGCCCCGTGCCCTGCAGCAGCACAGCCGAGCCGCCCAGCAGCCGAGCCGCCGAGCCGCCCAGCAGCCGAGCCGCCCAGCAGCCGAGCCGCCGAGCCGCCCAGCAGCCGAGCTGCCCAACAGCCGAGCCGCCCAGCAGCCGAGCCGCCCAGCGGCCGCGCCGCCCAGCAGCCGAGCCGCCCAGCAGCCGAGCCGCCCAGCAGCGGAGCCGCCGAGCCGCCGGGCCGCCCAGCAGCTGAGCCGCTGAGCCGCCGCGCCGCCCTCCTTCAGGGCCGCCCGACCTGCCCAGTCTGGTGAGCACAGCGCCTTTTCACTGCACTGTCCTCACCCCACTGTTTGCGCTGCTAGTCGTCTAGGGTCATGGCTACCCCTAGTGTTCTCGCCTTTGACGCTGAGGGTAGGGCCATTGACTTTGAGGTCTGGGTAGATGACCTGCAGCTGTTCTTACAGTGCGATAGGGCAGACGGCCTCTCTCTCTTTGACCTCACCTCTGGCACCTCCACTGCCCCTGCTGCTGATGCTGACGCCACTGTTCGCTCCCAGTGGGCCACGCGCGACGCTGCTGCACGTCTTGCTGTGCGTCGCCACCTCCCTACCTCCGAGCGTGCGCACTTTAGTCAGTACAAGAGTGCTCAGACCTTGTACGACGCTGTAGTTGCGCGCTACTCCTCCCCTGCCACTGCTGCACTGAGCCGTCTCATGCTACCGTACCTCTTTCCTGATCTTACTGCCTTTCCCACAGTCACTGACCTCATTACGCACCTCCGCACTAGTGACACTCGCTACCGCGCTGCACTCCCTCCTGACTTCTGCGCCAGGAACCCCCCCCCCATGTACATCACTCTTTACTACATAGTCACTCGCCTTCCTGACTCCCTTCGCGTAGTCAGGGACCACTTTCTCTCTGTCTGTCCCACCACTCTCACTGTTGACCTCCTCGAGAAGTCCCTCCTAGCGGCCGAGAAGAGCATAGTCGCTGTAGGGGCCTCTCGTGGTGACCCGCGCACCCCCATCTTTGAGGGGTGTTCCCCCTCCCCCCTTCTGCCCTCTGTTGCCTATGCTGCTGCGGCCGACCTCCTTGTTCTTGAGTCGGTCGGTGCGGCGTCTGCCCCTAGCGGGAGACGCCGCTCTGGCAAGGGCAAGGGGGGCAAGGGTGCTGGAGGAGCGAGCGGGGGCGGTGGAGGTGGAGGTGGCGGCAGTTGGGGGAGTGGGGGTGGCGGTGGGAGTGGAGGTGGGGGTGGAGGGGTCGGTGGCGGCAGTGGAGGTGGAGGTGGCGGCGGCGGTGGCGGTGGGAGCGGAGGTGGCGGAGGTGGCGGAGGTGGAGGCGGCGGCGGAGGCGGAGGCGGCGGCAGTAGCGGAGGCGGCGGAGGCGTCGGAGGCGGCGGGGGTGGCGGTGGTGCTGGTCGCGGGTCTTCGCAGAGGAGTGGCTCCGGTGGTGGCTCGCGCCAGCAGCAGCAGCGTGGTCGTGACACCCTGTCCCCTCAGCAGCTTCGTGAGTGGTACACTGCGCGTCAGCGGGGTGGGGGTTTTGGTCCGTGCTCCTACGTTTTGCGCACTGGCGACCGTGCGGGTGAGCAGTGTGGGGGTGCCCACCCCACCCAGCGCTGCTTTGGCCGCCTGACGGACGCGTGGCGTCACCAGTTCCCGGAGGCCTCCGAGATCCCTCGCTGGGGCGAGCTGTCTAGGGCGGGTGTTGCCATCTATGATCTTGACTTTGATGCTATTCTCTCTGCCATGTATGCTGTGTCTATTAGTGATGAGGGTGACTGTTACCGGTGTTTCCCGCCCGATCCGGGCATTGAGACTGCTGCTCTAGGTCCTGGTGAGGCTGCTGCCCTAGGTGCTTGCGACGCTGCTGCTCTAGGTGCTCGTGTGTCTGCGTCCTCAGGTACTGGTGAGTCTGCGCTCTCAGGTACTGCGTCGGCTTCGGCCTCCCTCACCTTCACCCTTGACTCTGGGGCGTCTCGCTCCTTCTTTCGGGACCGCACCACACTCACACCGCTGAGTCGACCGGTTGCAGTGTCTCTGGCTGACCCCTCTGGGGGTCCTGTCCTGTCTCGCTTCTCCACAGTCCTCCCGTGTCCGGCGGCTCCCTCTGGCACCCTGTCTGGTCTCTACCTCCCCTCATTCTCTACGAACCTGGTGAGTGGTGCTGACCTACAGGATGCGGGGGTCCACCAGTTCACTCCTGCACGTTAGAGAGTGACCCACTGTACAGAGGCTGGCACAGGCCGACACCTGGCTACGTTCACCCGTCAGCCGGGGTCGAGCCTGTA